TGGCATAAGCATAGAGCTGCAGACATTCCCATCTCTCCACTTGTGGCTTTACAACACATTACCACATTTCTTCATAGTGGATAATACAGAGCATTTTAAAACATTGCCAGAGAGGTTGGAGGCACAATTACAGAAATAGCATAGGTGAAAGCATTACGCCCAGAGTAAGGAAACCTGACCTCTAGCCCAGGTCCATCATTACTTGCTGTGTGACAATTCATATGCTATCTCTGGACCTTGGTTTCCTCATCTATTTATAAACTGGAGCTCCTAGGTGATTTCTTAGGCCATTTCTTCATCCGGCCTTCTGGGAAACTCAAATTATATTCTTGGAAGTCCTGGTAAAGAATCGAACTTGTGACAAAATTTTCATATTTTATTTGTAAGTAAAATACAATTCAATTTAGTTTGGACAATTTATATGCTATCTCTGGACCTTGGTTTCCTCATCTATTTATAAACTGGAGCTCCTAGGTGATTTCTTAGGCCATTTCTTCATCCGGCCTTCTGGGAAACTCAAATTATATTCTTGGAAGTCCTGGTAAAGAATCGAACTTGTGACAAAATTTTCATATTTTATTTGTAAGTAAAATACAATTCAATTTAGTCAATGTTCAAAAATATTTCTTGGCTATAAAGGGTGTCCCAAAAATGTATATACACATTGAATAATTATTAATTCCAATGGGTTAAATCTGAAAAGAAAGAAACATCGATTGAGCTACCAGCTGTTAAGCATGTATACATTTTTTGGGGACACCCTATATAAACCATCACCATGGTTTCCTGGTTTATTCTGGTGCCTTTTGTTTTACACTCTCTTTGCAAAGATGTTGAGATAGTGAAGAGTCTTAGAAGACAGAGATAATGTTTCCTTCCAGGGCAAAGGGCAGTTTTGCTTATTACCTTAGAAGATAGAGCTAGTATCTCGCCCTGAAGTAAGCACAGGAAAACCTACTGTCCAGTGCAATGGAGACAACGCTCCCCCACTCCCTGGAGAAGGGAGGGCACTTTTCATGCTCATTTTAAAAGATTTGAGTTTTCCAAGCTCAGGATCACTCTCCTGCGGTGCAATCCACTGTATTAATTTAAATGTGCAGGTAGCATTCGGCCCTCTTGCTGTCACACGATGGCAATTGGGGCTTGGAGAACAATGCAAAATTCGCTGATACTCTGGCTTTTGCTATTGGTGTGAGCAATAAACTGTCCTTTGTCTCATGTCTTCTAACAGCATAGGTGAAATTGTGGCAGGTAACTTGGTAGTTTGCCTGTAGGTAAAATCTAGATCCTGTAAAGTTCTTAATAGTAGCTAATGGAGATGTGGGAACAAGAGTTTTTGCTGTTGGTTTTTTCTTAGGATGGCAAATACTAAAGCTTTTACAGATAAACTCATTCAGTTCGCTTGAGACAAACAGCGTGGAGAGTCATGTGGAAGAGAACAGAGCTCCCAGCTGACTGCCAGCACCAACACCAGACATGTGAATGACCGTCTCAGATGCTCCAGCCCAGGCAGCGCCCAGATAACTGTAGCCCCAGCCAACATCACATGAAATAGAACTGATTAGCTGAACTGATTCAGTCAACCCACAGAGTTGTTACATATCGTAAGATAGTTATAATTTTAAGCAACAAAATATTGGGGGTGGTTTGTAACAGAACAGTAAATAATAGTAATAATATATCTCTTCACAATCTTTTTAACAGTCAAATTTTGGGGCAGTTAAACAGAGAGCAAATCTCCATTTGGAAATTAATGAAATATATGATGTACGAAGAAAAAATATTGAATTGGCAATATCTATATATATATATAAAAAGAGGAAATATGCAAATTAGGCCAGGACGCAGTAACGGGTCACGACCAGACAGGAGGAGGTTGTGCATGCAGGTGAGGCCCGGAGCGGAGACAAAGACAGAGACAGGGGGGCCGGCAAGCTGCTGTGCCTGGCTGGGGCCGGCCTCCCGGAGCCGGAGCGGACATGGACAGGGACAGAGGGGCCGGTCCGCAGCCTCCGTGGCCTAGCGCAGGCCCGGAGAGGAGACAGTGGGCCCACCTCCCTTGGAACCTGTGCGGCTCCCTCCTGGCTCCTGTGGGCACGGGCGGCTCACTTCTGCCTCCCGCGGAAGCCACACGGCTCCTGTGGAAGCAGCGTGGCTCCCGGCGGTGCGCTGCAGTTTCCACTGGCTCCCACAGAAGCAGCGGGTGGCCTACTGCATGCGATATCGCGCGATGGGCTACTAGTTTATAACATAACTAGTAGCCCGGTGCACGAAATTTGTGCACTGGGGTAGGGAGGGAGGAAAGGGGTCCCTCAGTCTGGCCTTCACCCTCTCCAATCTGAGACCCCTCAGGGAATGTCCAACTACCTGTTTGTGCCCACACTTTTAACAGATAACAGCTCCATTGTTGTTTCTTTCTTATGCTTAAAACCATTGGAATTAGTAGGTATTCAAAGTGTGTATACATTTTGGGGGGACACCCTGTATATCTCTAGTCAGTGGTGAAAAAAACCAACAGCAGATTTGGAACCCCCAGACAGGGAACCTCGCTCACTCCCCACATGTCTCCCCACTTCACTTTCCACCTTCGTGGGCAGCAGGAGAATCAACATTTTCTCTCATTAATTCGGAAAAGCACGTCCTGTCACCCGCTGCCTGGCAGGAGTGCGCTAGGCCCCAAGCAAGCGAGGCTCAGTCAGGGCAGCCTTCGCTCATGGGTGCTGGCACCCAAAGTGCACATTCCTCCTCTACAGTCGCCCCGACTATTCCACTGTTTCACTGAGAGGACGGAATTCCTCTCCGCCTCTGGGTTCTTGATCTTGAACGTTGACCGAAGGCACCTCAGCGAGGGCCGCCCGCACCCACCAGGTGTGTCTGTCTGCACCTGCTCCTGCCTTAGCACCTGCATTAACCCCCCAGAGGTGATCTCGTAGCTGCACTGGCCTCCGTGGGAACAGGGCATCACCACTCCGCCCTCTCACTGTCATCTCACAGGCGCCCACTCTCAGCACCCAGAACACCCAGACACTCTCCAAAGGACGTGAGCGCATCAGAGGGGATGTGTGCACATCCTGTGGGGGTGTTAGGCATGCCGGGTTGATGGAAGTGCAGTGGAGAGGCGGGGGGAACTTGTGCACGCATTGGTTTGCAACTGTTGCAGGCATGGGAGGGTGACAGTGTGCTGGGGGATGTTCGCATGCCAGGGGGAATGTGCACACCAGAGGCCTCTGGCTTTGCAGATCCGCAAACCCCCGTGGTGCGGCCAGGAGGACGTCAGTCTGGCCCACCACGGTGGCTGTCCCTGCGATCCTGCACCTTCTGGGCCAAGAGGCAGATCTTGCGCAGTCACTCCTGGGCGCTGATGGCCTGCAGGCACTACTTTAGCTCAGCCTGCAGACTCCGCTTGGCGCACTCACAGCTGTCACCACCGCCATGTGGGGAGTACAGGCCGCCCTCTGCTGGCCTGCCTCCCCTCTCCAGAGGCTCTCTGCACTGCTCACCTGCCCAGAGTGACTGGGGCTGGGTGGAAGCCAGGCATCCTGCCCTGCCCAACCCCAGCCGATCCGCCCCTGTGCGAGCTGCCACCCCGCCGGGAAGGGTCATGGATCCAGGTCTCAGGACCGCGGACAGTCTCAAGCGTTGCCCCCCGCCTGGCAGGGTCACAGATCCGTGTCTTGGTCCCATGGACAGCCTCAAGCACTGCCCCCCGCCCAGCAGGGTCACAG